TTTATATTTATATTTATATTTTATAATGAAGTATCTATCCTAATGTTATACCTTGCCCTTTTGGGGAGAGGAATATATTAAGACTCTGAGTAATAATTAGCCTTATACCCTGTTCTAAACCTCCTATACGAGAAGTTGACATGGAAAGAGCTAAATACATCCTCAAAATACTTGCCGTCGTTTTTCACGTTCGGATATTTTATATCCTCTTTTATACTGTAAGAATTATTAATATTATTGCCGGAGACCCTCTAATATTATGCTTAATATGGAAGGGTTATCACCAGTCCCATAAGGGTTAGGATGATTGATTTTAGTTAATTAGATTTAACTAAATTATTAGAACTTATTATAAATAGTATACCTGGAATATAAATAAATAATAATCTTAAGTAACTTACTATAGAAGATAGGTCTACGCCCGTATGACTATTAGCAAGTGGACCAGGTAATATATTAATAATAATAGGTGCAAATAGAAGTAAAATAATAGAAATTAGTCCTAATACCATGTATAGAGCATAACTAGTTACTATACCTGTGTCTCAGTTACTAATATTTTTACCTGTATTAAATAGGAAATTAGAAATACCGAAAGGTCCTACAACTTCAATAACTCCTCTATCTAATACTTTAGCTACAGTATATCCTAAATTTAAACCAGCTCCAATGATATAGTTATTATAGATTATATCTAATAAATATTTTCCATTTAAGAAAGTATATATTTTTCTACCTAAAGAATAATCTGTTAATTCTATCATAGCTTGTCCTTTAATTCCAGAAGGATTTTTTAAAGATAATTTACTATTATGATATAGGTATACTGCTAATAGAGCAGCAAATACGCTACCTATTGTAGGTAATAATTTAATTAATAATGGCATAGAGAATTCAGCTTCAACTAAATTAATATGGTTAGGATGTATAAATAAACTATTACCGAAGAAGTCTGTACCAATACCTACAAATAAATCAGCAAAGATAAATCCAAAGAATATACTTGCTAATGATAATAGAGTTAAAGGTATAACTACACTTAAACTAGCTTCATGTGAATTTAAATAATCTGATTTAGGTGCATTAGGATATGTAAAGAATACTAATGAAATTAATCTAAATGAGTAGAAGGCTGTAAAGATAGCTGTTAATGTTCCTAAATAATAAGCAGCTTGACCACTAAATTGATATTTAGCATAAGCTAATTCTATTATTAAATCTTTACTATAGAAACCAGTTAATCAAGGTAAAGCCATTAAAGATAATGATCCAATTAAGATAGCTGTATATGTAAATGGTAAGAATTGTAATAATCCTCCTAATCTTCTAACATCTTGTTGATCTGCCATAGCATGAATTACAGATCCAGCAGCTAAGAATAATAATGCTTTGAAGAAAGCATGATTTACTAAGTGGAATAAAGCTACGTTATATTGGCTTAAACCTACTGCCATGAATAAATATCCCATTTGACTAATAGTACTAAAGGCAATTATTCTTTTTAAATCATTTTGTAATAAACCTGATGAAGCAGCAAAGAATGCTGTTATTGAACCTACTCACATTATAACTAATAAGGCTGTTGAACCATATTCTATTAAAGGTGATGATCTCATTAATAGGTATACTCCTGCTGTAACTAGAGTAGCAGCATGGATTAAAGCTGATACGGGTGTTGGCTTGTTGTTAGCTGTAACTTTCATTACAGATCGGACTATATCTTCTATCGATTAGAGGGTGATATATTAAAAAAGAATCCTATCCTACTAATCAATAGCTCCTCGTGTAGTCTCTGAGGATCCTACTCTATTTTAGTCCCTTGCTAGCCCTATGTTTCCCACCCCTTCGCATATAGGCCATAGGCGATACATGTGCGTGATAAGGGTAGGCTCGGCCTGGACTGATAGGGACTGAAAATATTTGGTTTCCTGCTGATTGCCTATCGCGCTAATTAGCTTATCTTTAAGATTTTTACTTTCTTAATCGGCCATTCCTCTTTATTTGAGGCAGGCATATAACTCTAGCCGATGTATAGAGTGTGTATAAGCCTCTTCGTGTAAGTGTGGACGGCACAGGATTAAAATGAGTACTTAAAGCTTAAAGGTGTTCCAGCATATAGAGGAGTTTAAAGAAGGCCCAAATTACATATTTGTTTAAGGAGTTTGTCTTCCTAATTTATATTTAAAATCTGAATGTAAATAAAGTTCAGTTATGTCTCTTAATAAAGGCATACTTGTTTTAGATATTCTAATTCTGTATCTATCCCCTTCTTTATTACGTATTTTTAAAGAAGATTTTATACCTAGTCCATTTAAAACTTTTTGTAATAAGAAACAATCTTCTTTAGTAAAACTTTCTGTACATAGTATTATTGTTTGAGTTCTACCTTGATTATCGAAATAACCGTCTTCAGCTATTCAGTAAGCTAAAGAAATAGGAGAAAACATTTCTTCGATATTTTGAGGTACAATTTTTATATATTTTTTGTTTTTATCGTCTCAAGTATATCATAAACTATGTAGTTGAGTAAACAAAGGAAGACTTCTAGTATTAAAATGATACTGAGTAATTTCTTTATTTTTATGTTGAGGTAATTTTAGATTAGGATAGCCTTTTAATTCAGACAGACTATAACTTTTATAAACTTCATTATATAGGTCTAGCATATAGTTATAAGATTTTACAGACAAAGTCATACAATAATGTGCATTACCTGTACCTCTGCCTTCCTCATTTTTATGAGTAAATCTAATACAACCATCTCCTAGCATGTTTCCAGTGATTACTTCTAATTTTGATTTAGATACTGATTTTAATATCAAAGGAAGCATTGTATCACATAGGGCTAATTGATAATTATCAATTAATGGTCGCCCCCAAGTTAGATAGACTGAATGTCATAACTATAAAACCTACTATACCTAGACTTAAATTTAAATTATTGGCTAAACCACCAAATATGAAAGTGCTCTGCAATCAACCTTCCATAGAACCAGGTAATCAACCATGTAATCCTATTTGAGCACTTTTACCCATTGCAGCTAATAATAGTAATAAACCTATTGTACTAATTAAATTTTCATTTATATAAGGTGCTAAACTAAATACACTTGAATAGTCTATATTTCCAAATACTCAGAATATAGAGAAGAAGGCTATACTTAATGACATATCACCAACTCTATTCATTGTAAAGGCTAAAATAGCCGCTTTGTTAGCTTGTACTCTAGTATATCAGAAATTGATTAATAAATAAGATGATACTCCTATTCCTTCTCATCCTATGAACATAATTAAATAATTAGATCCTGTTACTAAAACTACCATGAAGAATGTGAATAATGATAAATATGAGAAGAATCTTTGATTATGAGGGTCTTCTGACATATATGATATTGAATAAATGTGTACTAATGTTGAAACATATAATACAGGTATTAACATAGATACTGTTAAACTATCAAATAAAAATTCTCATGATATAGATAGATATTCTGAATCTATTCAACTACTTAAAGGAATTGTTACAGGTGATGAACCTATTCCTACTTCGTAGAAAGCTATACTTGCTAATACTGATGTGATAAATAATAGGAAACTTGTAATAAAATGACTACCTGTTACTCCTATTTTTCTACCCATAAAACCTGCTATTGCTGAACCTAATAAAGGTAATACTAATATTGATAGATACATTAACTTCTTAATGAAATATTTCCTCTTAATCTATAATATGCTACTACTATACTTAATCCTATTACTGATTCTGCTCCAGCTATACTTATTATGTATACACTAAATGTTTGACCTATATTATCATCTAACTGATAAGAAGATATTAACATTAAGAATGTTACAGCTAATAGCATAATCTCAATAGAAATTAACATAAGAATTATATTTTTTCTATTTAAAATAAAACCTAGTATTCCTACTAGGAATAATAATAATGATAAATTCATATTTTCTTATTTTGATTCCTTACGGACCTGTGAAATGATAAATGTATAAAGATTATATTTCCCCGTTACCTACTGGGTACCGGCCGTTCTTGATTATTTTTACCAGACCAGTTAAATATCAGACGAGAAAAATCTAGCCTTTAAACCTAGCCAGTATATATTATCAGTTTACATGAAAATAGTTTTATACATATTAGACCTTTAGGTCTTTAAATACTTAATACCTCTTTTAACTATTTTTCTTCCTCTAAGGGCTAGGGAGGGCTCTGCCACTATTTGTAAACATATGTACCGAACCGAAACCTTGTCAGGCTTCCTATTTCTATAAAGCCTATATCATCTGCCTATAACTCTTTATAATGGATTTTTAAGCTTAGATTAGCTTAAATAAAAATACGAACAAAGAGACTTGAACTCTTACGAATAAAATTCATGAGTACCTAAAACCCACCCGGCTACCAATTTCGGCATGTTCGCTTACTTCCTTTTATAACTAAATAGTTATATTCCATCCGGACACGTACTAAATTATTAAAATATATCTGGCACAGGCTAAGCCTAAATAGGGAAGGCTAGACTCGAACTAGCTATAACTTAGTCCCAAACTAAGCAACGCACCACTTTGTTTTCTCCCCTCTTGTTATTACTTAGCCCTACGGGACTAATGACCCGTAGACCTTTTAAATTTTACTTCCTTCGATCATTGGTCTGCCTAGGCCTCGCAAGGGCTAGGGCCAGGGTTAATTTATAGCTATAGGCTATATAATTATCCATCTACCTTATTGCCTAAGGAAGTCTTAGACAAGAAAGGAATGGTGACAATTAGACAAATATTGCAAATAAATACGAACAAAGAGACTTGAACTCTTACAGAATCACTTCCACTTCTACTTAACAAAAGCCTGGCTACCAATTTCAGCATGTTCGCTATTATCTAATTTAACTTCCTATTCTGACTCAGTGTATCTCTCTCTGCCTTACGGCCTGATACTGAATCAAGCCCTAGATATAGAAAGAGGGGATAGGTTATGCACTAATTAAGACCGAAGGGGCTCGAACCCTCATTTGACCCATTATGAGCGAGTGGCATTAACCAATTATGCTACAGTCTTTTCTATTCGTAATCGTTTAGTCTGGGCACTGTTCGGCCTAATCATTGTCTTAATATTAAGGGGTTAGAAACTAGTTCTACCCATTGTGCTTACCCGGTACTGGTTAAATTTACAAATCCGGGACCCATGAGATGGGTTGAAAAGGAATCGAACCTCTCCCGATCACAAAGATCAATTTTTTTACAGAAAATCCTAATTACCATTCTAGCATCAACCCTTTTTTATTTTCCCACAGGGCTTGATTGTGAGGCACCGGTACATAAGTATCACAACATGGACTGGAGAGATTGCCTCCTACCTGACCCTTGAGGATACCTAATAAACGGAATAGAGGGGATTCGAACTCCTCAAGGGATAAACCCTAATAGTTAGCAACCATCTTATCTTACCAATGAAAACTATTCCAGCCCACCGGGATTGTGTTTATCCATCCAGCCCTATTCCAGGCCATGAGTATTACCTCAAGGCTTGGAATTGAGAGATATTTATCGGACTAGGTCTAGCCTTATAAGGCGAAATTAGGATTCGAACCTAAATCAAATGATCATGAGTCATTTATGTTACCTTTACACTATCTCGCCCTAATAAAAGTTAAAGATAAAGTTAATATATTATTCTTTTCTACTCTTTTATTAGGCACCATAGCACCCTGGCTTTAATAACGGACACAGTGAGATTCGAACTCACGACTATTCGTAATCGTTTTCAAGACGATCGTATTAAACCACTCTACCACATGTCCTTAACCGGTACTTAATAATTACAATGACTTCCTCCCGTTTCACTATGCCTAGGACTCTAAGGGCTAGGACCAGGGCTACTATAGTACCGAGTCTATTTTTATTTAAGGTGTAGGAGATTCGAACTCCTGTCTCAATAGTGTAAATATTACGCTAAACCGCTCAGCTAACACCTTTGTTACTCTTTTATTGTAACTCCTTTCTTTATTAGGTACCGCTACCATAAGAACAATATACCTACCAGCATACATACCGTCAGTATTAAATATTAGCTGAAAAAAGGAATCGAACCTTCTTTTTATCATCATGAATGAAATGTTTTAACCATTTAAACTACTTCAGCTTATAATTTATTACACCTAGCCCTTCGTTTACCTGATAAGCTTTGCTTTCTAGGCCTACGGAAGAAGGATGGAACTAGTGCATGTAGTACCGCAACCATTATCGGTCCCGTAATGCTAGGGTTGATTTATTAATAATAGATATCTACAAGACGGATTGTGTATTGAGCATAGTTATTAAGCTCCAAACTGAATTCTATCTAAAATTTATAAGGTAAGAGATAGGAGTTTATTTTCTAGTTAATATATTAATAGCCTTTATCCATTACGGGCCCCAATCCCTAGCCACAGGCAAAGGGTGATGGGAGGCTGGGAATAATTAAAATACTTAACTCTAATTTTCTGTTTAATTACCTAAAATTTATTTTAATTTATTATCTCTTATGTTGTTACCCCGAACTTATCTAAATATTTAGCCCTAACCCTACGGAAAACGTAGGCAGAGGGAACAATATTCCAGTTTTAGATATCTTATTAGTTATAGGTTATATTGTTCTAGCCCTACTTATTACACTATATGTAATATAGTAGTGTCAGCTAGGATAGGGTGAAACCATGGATTTGAACCAAGATCCACCGTCGCCACAAGACGTTATTTTACCAATTAAACTAATTTCACCTCTTTTATCTGGTAGGGGGGATTAGCTATAAAGCAAACCTCTAGAGGTATTTGGTCGGTATTCATCAGTAAGGTACCCGTGAATAAACTAACCTTATATTTAATTAGGAGCTAAGAGGAATCGAACCTCAATATTGGGCCTTTCGAATTGCCCATGTATAGCCATATACTTTAGCACCGACTCACTATATTGTCAGGGTAGGTAGGTTTCATGCCTGAATTTGTTCTAGATATAAATATTAAAAAGATATAACCAATATCATACTTATTACTTCTTTTGCTATTATTGTTAGGCTAGGGTTAATTATTATAAGATGTTTATACAAGAAGGTGAATCAATGGGTTCCTTAGTGTAGATATACTGCATCTTTAATATATGAACATGTTAAGATACAGAATACATAAGCTTGTATTAAAGATACTGCTAATTCTAATCCAATTAAACCAATGAAGATAGAGAATGGTATTAAAGTTAATACAGAAACTAATATACTACTTGAGAATAATTGTCCTAAGAATGTAGATAATATTTTTAATAATGTATGTCCAGCTGTCATATTAGCAAATAATCTCACTCCTAAAGAAACAGCTCTAGCCATATATGATACTAATTCGATAAGAACTAATAAAGGTACTAAAGCTAAAGGTGTACCTGAAGGAACGAAGAAAGCAAAGAAATGTAATCTATGTCTATATAGAGCTAAGATTGTAACACCCATGAAGATTGTAAAGCTTAGTCCAATAGATACAATAATAGATGTAGCTACAGTGTAGTTATAAGGAATATTACCTGTTAAGTTACTAATAACTATAAATACAAATAATGAGTAGATGAAAGGTAAATAGATTTCATTAGCTGAACCTATTTGGTCTCTAACCATAGAATTGATACTTGTAAAGAAACTTTCTAAAGCTATACTTCATTTTGAAGGAATTATTCTGTTGTTATTTGTTGTCACAAAGTGTAGTGATAAAATAACTGCTAATACGATTAAAGAATATAAACCTAAGTTAGTTAAACTTAAATTTAAGTAACCTAAGATAGGAGCATTTAAACCAATAAGGTTAGTTACTTCAAATTGGTCTAATGGAGAAGAAACAGTAAATTGATTTACTATTAAATTGCTATTTGTGTTTATCATTGATGTAATGTTATTAATCAGTATACCTCAGCTATATTACTAAGGTAATACTGGATAGGCATTAAGCCGTCTCACTCCCTAATACCCTAAGGCATAGGTCGTATACTATTATATAAACTACTACTAAATAGTAGGAAAGTAATGTATAGTAGTGAGAGAGTTTGTAAAATAAGATCTCGATTAACAATATAATAAGCCTAAAGCACTATTACAATAATTAATTAGATCTAAAGGTATACTAAATTTATAGATAAAGGTAAAGCTAAGATTAGTTATACAGAATCAAAGATTAAATTAAAATAGCTATAGTAGTTATTTATATTAAGCCATTTGAGTTCTATAGAAATAGATCATACTCATTTACCTACAAATACCTTTAAATTATTATATAAATAAATTAGTCCACTTTTATTAAAAAAAGTACGGATGTCTACCTCCTCTTCTATGCCTTAATGATTCGTATATATAATATATAATAGTCTAGTTTATCTTATTAGATAGTAGTAAGGCAAGGTAGCATCCTTTATTAGTCCTTTAACTGTATAAAGAAAATAAAATGGCTCAGCCTCCCTCGGTCCGATAGGGCTTAGGGCTTAGATATATAAGGCTTTCTTTATATAATAGTATACTAAAATTTACGAGTCCTACCAGATTCGAACTGGTACCTTCCTAGGTGACGCCTAGGCACTCAACCAATTAAGCTAAGGACCCTTAATATAATTTTACTTTATTCTCCTTTTATTAAACCTTAGCCCTTATCCTCTGGCTATTTCTCCATTATGATTGGATGGATTGCCGACCCCTAAGGGCCAAGGCTGTCCCTATCACGCTACGCTTAAGCAAAAGCGAGGGTAGGGATATGGCCTATGTCATCTGCTTAAATAAGTGCGGCAGTGATCGAATGTATGTGCATTACTCCTACTCCGTGTAAACAAGAGCGAGGCGAATCGAACACCTGCCTATGATTTTGAAGATCAATATACTACCATTATACTACGCTCTTTTTGTGTGATGTGTATCAGGTCCATGCTGATGTAGCAGGTACCTAAAGGATAAAGTTCTCTTTAGGATTCGAACCTAAATCAATGTTTTAGAAGAACACAGCTCTACCGTTAAGCTAAGAGAACATAATTAGTCTCCTGCCCTCTGTTTTAGATCTGGCTACCTTCTGTGGTACCGCCTAGTATTAGAGTTAAGAAGGACTCGAACCCTACGATTAAAAATAATCATCAAATTTGCAATTTGACTACAGTACCATTCTGTAAACTTAACTCTTATTACAGTACCGGTCCTTATCCTCTCCGTCTCCTTTATCTGAGGCCTAGACCCCTTTAAAAGGCGTTGGCTTGCGCTCCTCCCCGGATATTAATCATCCGGCAAAGGAGGGCTAGATTTTATAGTCTTATTACAGCCTTGCCACCTTGCCTTCATTCGTCAAATCCTCTCTGCCTGTGCCTGCCATAGGCCCAGCATCCTAGGCCTGGCCTAACAAACCAATATCTAACCTCTAACTAGAAGTCGGAAGCGACTAGGTAAAAGGCGGTGGCTTGCGCTCCGCATAAAGATAGGATATCTGCTCCGCAGCTCCGCAGCTCCGCAGCTCCGCAGCTCCGCAGCTCCGCACTAAATTGAAGGCAATGGTTCAGCCTCCCCTTACCTAAGGGCTAGAGAGGGCTAAAAAGAAAAATAAAATAAATATGTTATAATAAAGTCAATAGACAAATTAGTAATATTAAGCTAAATGTTTCACAACAATTCCACTCATATCCTAACTAGAAATGTTCTATTTCTTATCTGATATACTAAACTAGAGTGTTAGTATTGATAGTATCCAGAGATCGGTTTCTTGCTTAATATACTTTCAGCAATTATCCGTTATGTTTGTGGCTACCCAACTATGCCAGAGTAAAGATAGAAAATCTATCAATACAACCAACAATTGGTGCACTATTGAAACACGCCCATCTGATCCTTTCGTACTGAGAGGTAATTCCCTTTTTACTATTTTTTACTTCGGAAGATAGGGACCATACTGGCTCACGCCGTATTAAACCCAACTCGCGTACCCTTTTAATCGGCGAACAGCCGAACCCTTCCAAGATCCTACGCCCGGAGGATAGGGTGAGTCGACATCGAGGTGTCAAACAGGCCGGACAATGTGTACTCTCGCGGCCTATTAACCTGTTATCCCTAGCGTAACTTTTATCTATTAATCGACGGCTATTCCATAATATACCGCCGGGTCATTATGCCCTACTTACGTATCTGTTCGACCTATGAGTCTCACAGTCAAGCATGCTAAAATCATTACATCTAATTCGATCATACATGATCGCTCGGTCTCCATCCGGTTTATGCATACCTTTATTTAAAAAAAGAAAATATGATATTAGACTTTAAGATAAACTATAAGCCTATCTTGAAACTAATAAAAACAACAGTCCTACCGATTAAGGTTGGTAACTTGTTGTTCAGGTTTCCCTAATTTATCTTTTCTTAGAGCCATTCGGTACTATCACCAAGCTAATACAAGACTAACTTAGCAACAATACTGAAGACATTCTAAGAATTAAGCTACCTATTATCTTAAGCCAATAGACTTAAAATACTAGCGTTCTTGAAGATAAATTAATTTTGGGTATTTTTGATACTATATTAAAAACGTCCGCCCCAGACAAACTGCCAACTAGTCATTTTCTCCTCTGTTTTATATGACAGAGAATAAATATTAACGTAATTCCGGTTAAGGTGTTTCACCTGAGTCATATCGACTACCTTATACGCTACACCCAGATTACGAGAATATTATAACTAGCTACAGTAAAGTTGCATAGGGTCTTCCCGTCTACCCGAAGTTAAACCGCATCTGCACGGCTAATTCAATTTCACTGAGATACTTGTAGAGACAGCGAGACCATCGTTACTTTATTCAGTCAGGACCACATTTAATGGACAATTAATTTTGCTACCTTAGGATCCTCATAGATAAGACCGCCATTGACCAGAACTTCAGCCAATAATTACGCTATGCGCTTATCGACCTTATATTAATGGCATTGGGCAAAATTCGCTTTCTATACAAAGATATTATTCGTCGCAGAAAGCTGTGTTTTAAGTAAACAGTCGGGGCCTCCGATTCTGTGCCACCACTTAAATACTATTAAGGCCTTGGTTTACAAAATAGTAATACACAAAGCAACCTAGCCTAAAGTAATAAGTTACCTTAAAACTAAAGGGGAGGTTTACACTTCCTTATCTAAACTTAACTAATGCCAAGTTTATGAAATGAAATTTCTATCTTATAAATAAGACAATAAGGAGTAATAGTATCCAGTGGTTCTTCATATCGTCTAACTTATGAAGACAGTTTGCCGAGTTCCTTTACAAGTATTATCTCTTCGCCTTAGTATTCTCTACCTACGAACCTGTGTCGGTTTAGGGTACGGTAGTAATAATGCATTATTTTCCTGGTCCTTTTGCCATCATAGCCTTACGATTAAATAAGACAAGCTTATTAATCTAAATAAATTACTTTATTATTAGAACTATGGGACAATAGGACTTTCTGCATTAAACTCATCAGACCTAAGCATTCGCATAGGTACCTTAGAGGCCGCTATAAATTTAGGAGGTTTAACCTCAAGCCTAAAAACCCTTTCGTATTCGGCGAGAAGTATTATAACTTCTTTTTACGTTACTCATGTCAGCATTATCTATTCAGGGACGTACAAGCAATGAAACACTGCTTTTTAACCGTTCTGAATGTTCCACTATCCGTTTTAAATACTTAATAAGTCTAGTATAAATACTATCTATTAATTTAAAAGGCATGATATCGGTAGATTATTTAGACCCGTTAAATTTTCGGTGCTATTCCCCATATTGTTTCTCCTTATGGATTAACATGGACTACTGCGTTGTTACACGGTCTTTAAAAGACTAGCGACTACCAAGCTCACTTCATAGTTGCATTGAGAGAATAACTTCCTTAATTTCACTTAATAATCATTTTGGGACCTTAATTCATGCTCACGGCTGTTTCCGTCTCGACTACACACCTTATCATGAGCAGTCTGAATTTCTACTATCAATTTATGTAATTCCGAGATTTTCATGCAAAGGTAGGATTTTTACGTCCCCCAAATGACTTAATAAGAATTAACTTACTAAGTTTTATGCATGCTGAGTGCTGTACCTCCATAAATCTTCCTTAATTAAATTAAGGTTTTGTAGAAGTCATACTAACATATGTTTCGTGGAAAACCAGCTATCACGAGGTACGATTGGCCTTTCACCCCTTTCCACAGCTCATCGGAGAATTATGCAACATTCACCCGTTCGATCCATTATAATCTGGCCATGGAAAGATCACCTCGCTTCGGGTATAATAGAAGTAACTTAACCCGATACTGCTTTATAAATAAAGACTTATGTACAGTCGCTTTCGCTAAGGCTTTAAACCTTGCTACTCCTATTAACTTGCTGACCCATTATGCAAAAGGTACGTCGTCATTTAAAAAATGTCATAAGACACTAAAATTTCGACTGCTTCTAGAGTTACTAATTCAAACTATTTCATTAGTCTACAACAAATTTTTCACCATTTCCTTCACAGTACTATTCACTATCGCTAAATTTATTATACTTAGCCTTAGAGGATGGTTCCCCTTTGTTCCGACAAGTTTTCTCTCATCGTACTTTATAGTTGACCTTTCTAGACCAAAAGGACTAGTTAGATTCAACTGACATAATTTACCTGCCCCAGAGGGGAGTAAGGCTTTTACCTACAGGACTGTTACCTTCTTTGGTTATCTATCTATTATTTCATTTAGAACAGTGCTCTTAAAGATTATAGATTTAGATATTTATCCATTTTCCATGGGATTTCGGGTAGGCCTATGGTTTGACTTATGTCTGGCTAATCTGATTTCACTCACCATTACTTTCAGAGTCTCGGTTGATTTCCTTTCCTTTCCTTACTACAATGTTTTGCTTCAGGAAGTAATTATATAAGGTTTTCCTTAGGATATACACAGTTAAGTTCATTTAGTGCCGTAAGGCTATAAACTTTAATTATAGCTTAATAATCATGATTAAAGGCAAGCCTCTAACTAGAAAACTAAGCATCTAATTAAACCTGTGTTTTTAGATCAATGTCTTCCTTTTTAATAAATTTGCTATGGTATTCTTAATAACCCCTTTAAATACTTTAAATATTTTTTCATATCTTTGATACTTTTAATACCTCCTACACATATAAAATTAGGGCTCCGCCACCCTAACCTAGTCCTCTCGCTGCCTCCCTCCCCAATCCTATAAAGGTTAGGGGCGAGGGCTGGGGACTATGCCGCTTTATTCCTCTTCCCTCGCTTTTGCTTAAGCGTAGCGTGATAGGGACAGCCTTGCGGATTCTTAAAGGGCTTATGATCCCTCGGATTGGGTACTTAATAAAAGAAGGAATAATTATTATCCCTATCCCTTCGGGGTCGGGGCAAAAGGTAGTTTATTAAATTAAACACACTAGGTAGCAGATTAATCCTATATCTCTATACCTTTAGGTTCTTTCTGCCTATAGGCAGGGACCGTATGGCCGAGGAAACTAGGATTATATTAATATAAGGCCTAATGGACATCATGCTCCTAATCAGGCTTTAGCCTTTCCACTAAGACAACTCTTATTCCTTGCTACCCGGAAGGGAAGAATCTTTATCCTTAAGGTATTGGTTATAGTCTAGAAATAAGTAAGTATAAGTCTAGTGTTGATAATTAAGATCAAATATTTGATCCTGAGGCTCCGCCACTAAAATCCCCTAAGGGGAAGGAAATTAAAAAAAATAAACACATAATGTTAAAACTATTATTAATAATACCTATATTAGGTTGTTTACCTTTAATGTTTATAGGAGGTTCAAATGAAGCTACAGTAACAAGTAGAGAAAGAACAAATTCTCTAATGAAAAATATAGCTTTAGGAACATCACTAATAACATTATTTATATCTATAATAATTTGAATACAATTTGACTCATTAACAAGTGAATACCAATTTGTAGAAGAATTTAGCGTATCTTTACCTTTAACTCAATTTCACTTTAATATAGGTATAGATGGAATATCATTATACTTT